ACGGATTGAGAGACTATGGAGAGATGTGCATGAAGGTGTGCTTAGTTACTTTTACAACTTATTTTATTTCATGGAAGATGAAGGTTATCTAGACCCACTAAAACTGACAAACTTAGCTGCTCTCCACTTTGTTTTCATGGACGAACTAAACAGGAAGCTTCAATTTTTGGCAGAGGCATGGGCTGGTCATAGACTACGCACTGTTAATTCATCTCCATTGAGCTTGTGGACTTCAGGTCAACTTCAAAATGCCGTAGGAATTACCGAAGGAGAAGCAAATTTGCAAGATTATGGAATTGAAGGCTATGTGGATCAAAATGATGTAGAAGAGGGCGAGAGACTAATATTTGGACCCCTTGCGCGCATGATAAGTGATCAATGCAGGCTGGATTCAACTCGACAATTGATAAGAAGCAATACTAACTTTGGAATAGATTATTATCTTGAATGTTTGGAAGTCATTGAAAGAAATAACTAAACTGGTTATTAAAACTTATTTGTAATTTACTAAATTTCCTTCATATCTTGAACGTAAATGAATAACTGCATAACTTCTTTATATACTTAATCTTATAAAACCCCATGACTTTTCAACAACTTCAAGCTTTACAGTGGTATATTGGTTATATGTAACTGTATTATTTTGTGTAGAGGTAGTACATGTACAATGTACAGATCTGTATATCCTCTTACTATTTTAGTATTTATTATAACCAATTTTTTTAACTTATATGGACGCTGAGTTGGCAATTGTATTGTGCAAGTCTTTTTGCTGCGCGTCTTTCGAATCTTGATAGGAAGTCGAGTAGATTGAGGGGCAAGGTTAGTGTACCCATAAACATGGTTCAACCCCACCACTCTGCCAAGTTTTGCCAGAGTGCCTGTACCAAGTCGGGACTTCTCTCTACCTTCTGTACATTTTCCTTTTTGTGTTGTCGCTGTATGTCTCTATTTTTGATGTTTTATATCGAATTATTGCCATTCCTTGTTTTATCTTTATTTTTTATATATAAAGGTTGGCTACATGGTTCAGCTAAATGAAATTCTTCGGTAATGCTTTATGTAACTGTGACTTTTACATGCATTTAAAGAATTTGGCCGATAATGAACAAATATTTAAATGTTTGTGTTTGAACTGAAAATCATTAATTGTGTCCTGAATATTAAGTCATTGGTCTTACAATTTGCCAAATTAAAAAGTACTTGAACCAGAGACATATAATACTAAAGATAAGCAACTTTGTGAAATCTCGAGAAATATCGCAGCCACATGCTTTGATAAGAATATAACATGTATAAGAGTCATATATAGAGAAAGAAAGTAGTTAAGTTTTCAGAAATATTCCTTAATTTTTCAAAAACTAAACAAGATATCTAAATATACCGATCACAGAAGTTGTAAAAGAAGTATCAAAAATCAACACATGCCCTCAATACTTTGTTATTTAGTAAGTTTCAAAATATTGTCATGATAATATGAAAACTTCATTTTGTCATAAAATGTTCCAGACCGAAATCTCTTCAATTTTCTATTGTATAATATTCAGAGTTTCCAATCTCTTGTTTTATATGTCTCCACTTCAACTAACTACAATCGGTTCGGTTTAGACAGGTTTTACTGTGTCACAAGTATTGCGGGAGTACACAAGTCCATTGATTTTAAAAAAATGTGTCGGCAAGCTTTAGCGAACAGGTACTTTTCGAAACTGTCCGAGGTACTAGTATGTAGCTGAATGTACTTATTTTTACTATTAGACTTGGGTTAAAACCATTTTTGATGTAATGAAATCAATGCTAATATTTGCGAAAATGCTTTCCAGTGATTAAATTTGGCTATATAGGAGTATCACCTATCTTGAACTTGAGCTAAATTTCATTTCAAGGCATCTTCTACCGTTCACCCACTAAGAACAGTCTCCAACTTGTGTGGTGATGCTCATCTATAACGCAGAGGTGTTTATATCTAATTTAAAAGTTAGTCTATCAGTAATATTTGAATGTTCTCAGTTTTTTTTAGTAGTATCACTGCTGAGGGCCAAATGCGAGAAATTTTCTAAGAGGGTCTGGAGGGCATGTCCCCCCCCCCCCCCCAGATACCTTTTTAAAACTTAGAGTCATGGTATGAAGATATCAAACACAGAAAATTCAAATTAAATAGATTTTTTTCTACTGAAATTCCTCCAGTCAGGTTTACTAAAATAAATAAACTGTTATCATAGAGATATGTCTCCCTTTTTGGTAATTTTTATAATGCATATGTTGAAATTAAAATAGCAACACTTTAACATGCAAGTTTTGCAAATATTCAAAGTCAATGAACCATGACTGAAGGTACATGGCTAAACAATCTCCATGGAAATGAGATGTGCCAATGCTAATACCAAATACCATTGACTTATCATAATTCCCATTAAACAAAATTAGACACAAACTAATACATGTAAACTAAGCAAAATTTCAAAGTCAATAAACCATAACTGAGGGAGCAAGGTCAAATAATATTTGTGGTAATGAGGTGAACAAATGTTATGACAACTGCATACCAAATATCATTGACCTACCACTAGTGGTTCCCGATAAACCAACCTAATCACAAACTAATGCATGAAAACTAAGCAAAAGTTTAAGTCAATAGACCATGACTGAGGGGCGGGGCCAAATAATCTCCATGGAAATGACATATGCCAATGCTTATACAACTGCATACCAATTGTCATTAACTTACCACTAGTGGTTCCCCATAAACTGACCTAATCACAAACAAATACATTGAAATTAAGCAAAAAATTCAAAGTCAATAGACCATGAATGAGGGGCGGGGCCAAATAATCTCCATGGAAATGACATATGCCAATGCGTATACAACTGCATACCTATTATCATTAACTTACCATTAGTGGTTCCCCATAAACTGACCTAATCACAAACTAATACATGACAAGAGTGCACACACTGAAATGTCTCGCCTTCTTTACTAAACATTGATAATATGTTGATAGTCCTAAATAGAAAGCCTAACTATCACATAAACATGAGTATAAAAATCAGATCAAGGTAATATAAACCAAACAAGAAATACATGCACACCTTACAATTATTCCATACACTAAATATAGTTGACCTATTGCTTATAGTATAAGAAAAAATAACCAAAACACAAAAGCTTAACTATAACCACTGAACCATGAAAATGAGGTCAAGGTTAGATGACACCTGCCAGATGGACATGTACACCTTACAATCATTCCATACGCCAAAAATACTGGACCTACTGCTTAAAGTATCTGTGATAAAGACTTCACCACCAAAACTTAACCTTGTTCACTGATCCATGAAATGAGGTTGAGGTCAAGTGAAAACTGTCTGACTGGCATGAGGACCTTACAAGGTACGCACATACCAAATAAAGTTATCCTATTACTCATAATAAGAGAGAAATTAACATTACAAAAAATCATAACTTTTTTTTCAAGCAGTCACTGAACCATGAAAATTGGGTTAAAGAACATAGGCCATGTGACAGACGGAAACTTAGTATCATTGAGCATCTATATACAAAGTATGAACAATCCAGGTCTTCCACCTAAAAAATAAAGCTTTTAATAAGTTAGCTAACGCCGCCCGATCACTATCCATATGTAAAGCTTTCTGTGACAAAAGTCGCAGGCTCCATAAAAACTAAACAAAAAATTCAGTCAATAGACAATGACTGAGGGGACGGGCCAAATAATCTCCATGGAAATAAGATATGCCAATGCTTATACAACTCCTTACCAAGTATCATTAACTTACCACTATTGGTTCCCCAATAATTGACCTAATCACAAACTAATGCATGATTCTTAGGAATAATTTCAGAGTCAATAGACCATAACTGAGGGGGCATGGCCAATAATCTCCATGGTAATGAGATATGTCAATACTAATACAACTGCATACCAAATATCTTTAACTTATCACTAGGGCTTCACCATAAACTAGACCTAATCACAAACTAATACATTGTTGACGCCGCCGCAAACAGCATACCTATGTCTCGCTTTTTGACTCCATTAAGCGATACAAAATCTACTTAAAAAATGTTGAACTAACTATTTCATTTTAAAGACTTAATTGATTTTCTTGATTTTTTTTTTTTTTTCATATTTCATTAGCAATTGGTCCGTCCCTTTTTCAAATAAACTCCACACTTCCGGTTTATCACGGGAACCACCATCACATAATAAAAAAGCACCTTATTATAATAAAAAAGCACCATCGTATAATAGAAAAGCACCTTCGTATAATACGAAAGCACCATCGTATAATAGAAAAGCACCATCGTATAATAGAAAAGCACCTTCGTATAATAGAAAACCACCTTCGTATAATAGAAAACCACCATCGTATAATAGAAAAGCACCTTCGTATAATAGAAAACCACCATCGTATAATAGAAAAGCACCTTCGTATAATAGAAAACCACCCTCGTATAATAGAAAAGCACCTTCGTATAATAGAAAACCACCTTCGTATAATAGAAAACCACCATCGTATAATAGAAAAGCATCTTCGTATAATAGAAAAGCAATAAAAAAGACACATAAGACAGCTATGGCGTTCCATAATCCTACATGCAAGCTCTAATGTATACGTGTTTGCTATTTCTTTGAAATCTTGTCAATTTTTTTAAACATTGCCACCATTTTAGGAGTGGTTCAAGCTGTTAGAAATATCCCTTTTTTGTTGAAATTTGTTTCTTTGAATACAATAACATTCTCTTTACTTAGTAACTTGTTCAACATTTTTTTTCATTTTACATGTTATTCATTTTTTTTTATGTCTTTATGAATTTGTCAGGATCTATTAGGGTATCAATACCTTCAAACCAACACATGAACATTAAAAGAAACTGTGTATTTTTTAAATAGTTATTCTGTTCAAAATAAATAGCGCGAATCATAAAACAATGACAAGTTAATTTAACCCATCCAATGAAGCGAAAGATTCGTTTATTTTTTATTTACAAAGGTTTTCATACTTATATTTGTCTATACTTTTAAAAAACGAAAATAAATACACGAAGAAATATTATTTTGTGAAAATGAATATAACAATATACTTTTGTATTATTTTAATATGTACGCTATCAAGTACCATACTATGTGCAACGAATACAGATTTTCAGGCATTTCTATCAGAAACGAAATTCACAGATTACAATAAAAAGATTTTTCCTAAGGAAACACAGTCTGATCAGATAATTGTTTCCATGAAATATTCATTAATTGCTATCAATAAGTTGGACGAAGGACACGGACAAATAAATTTAGTTGGATTTATAGAAGCATCTTGGACTAATGATTTGTTGACGGCATGGACTGCCGGCATAGATGAAATGATGATTGCTCAAGACAACGTTTGGTTGCCACCTATTTCAATACACAATACAGTTGAAACACTTCAAACGTTAGGTTACAGGAGTAATAAAATCCGATTAAATAAGGACGGAACGCACACATGGAAAGTAGGAATAGTATCAAAGACCAGCTGTAAAATTACGATGTCACATTATCCTTTCGATAAACATACATGCCAGCTACAGTTTACACCGTTGGGTTATTTGGAAGACCAGGTAAATATTTAACTTGCTTGTTTGCAACTATTTTTCTCTTCCTAGTATGTAATGAACAGTAGCCTACATTGTAAGTAATATACAGTAGTCTACACTTTTATGTAATGAACAGTAGCCTAAATTGTAAGTAATATACAGCAGTCTACACTTTTATGTAATGAACAGTAGCATTCACTTGTAAGTAATGAAGAGTAGCCTTCACATCTTACAAGTGTAGGCTACAACTCACATCGTAAAAGTGTAGGCTACAACTCACACCGTACAAGTGTAAGCCACTATTCACACCGTACAAATGTGGGCCACAATTTACACCGTACTAGAGTAGGCCACAATTCACATCGTAAAAGTGTAGGCTACAACTAACACCGTACAAGTGTAAGCCACAATTCACACCGTACAAATGTAGGCCGTAATCACACCGTACTAGTGTAGGCCACAATTCAAATTGTAGAAGTGTAGGCTACAACTCACACCGTAAAAGTGTAGGCTACAACTCACACCGTAAAAGTGTAGGCTACAACTCACATCGTCCAAGTGTAGGCTACAGTTTACATTAGTATACAACTGCAGGATACAACTCGCATCATACAAGTGTAGGCTGCACTACAGTTTACATCGAACAAGTGAAGGCTACACTACAGTTTACAACATACAAGTGCAGAGTACACTACAGTTTTCATTCAGACACCGTACAAGTGTAGGCTACACTACATTTTACATCGTACAAGTGTAACTTTTTGTGACAGTTTTAATTTTACAAGTGTAGGATACAGTTCATATCTTGCACGTGTATCAACAATAGGTTATGTCTTAGACTAGGCATTAGTTTTCCTTTTGTTTTATTCATGTACAGAGCAAGTTTTAGCAATATTGTCCACATTTTTGGTATTAAGATGATTCAAATGATACATTTTGTTAGTAAATTTCAAGTTCATGTAATTATGTATTTTTTTTATCAAACTAAGGTTGCAACTCCCTAAGTTAAAATTGATTTTAGACGGATTGTTCTTTACTTTAAGGCCGGACTCTAAAACGTTTTGTAATTTTGGTTTTCAAAATTTGATCAAGAGCATACCTCATGACGAATATACAGGAACACGTATTGTGCGATCAGAAATTACATAACTTGTTTTTTACTACAACTTGGTCGCTACCACTGTTGGTCGGTACCTATGGTACCATTCCACATGCAGTCAGTTCTTCGGAATGATTTAAATGATTCATTTTTAAAATTTCCAGTCATAAACTTACATGAATATTGTGATAAAACAATGGTTGCAACCCCTAATGGTAAAGTTAACTTTAGACGTATGTGGCTATCTATTTAGACTAATTTGTAACCCCTTCTGATAAGTTGACTTTAGACGTTTGGGGCTGTTCTATTTAGCAATTTGCACCCCCCCCCCCCCCCCCCCCCAACCCAACCCTCTGATAGAAGAGAGGCGAAAGATACCAAAGTAGAGATAACTTTAGACGTTTGGTTCTGTTATATTAAGACTAATTTGCAACCATATCTGGAAAAGTTAACTTTAGACGTTTGTGGCTGTTCCATTTACTAGGCTAATTTGCAACCCCCTCTGGTAAAGTTAACTTTTGACGTTTGTGGGCGTTCTATTTAGACTAATTTGTTTGTTTGATTTTGCTTTCGAACGTTTTACAGTTGTTTTTACAAACTTTTTGTTACGAGCGTACCTGTTAAAAGTATATTTTTAGGAAAACATGTTGGTTGAACGGAAATCAAATAATTTATTTTTTCCAAAATACACCCCAGGCTGTGTAAGTATGTAAACTTCATTAACAAATCTTACAAATATTAAACTGTAATTTGCATCTTACAATAATAAAGCCCAGATCATCAAAGTTTACATTCAGTACGCAAAATAAGCTGAGCCTTATATCTAGAAAATATATCAACTTTAATTCTGCATATGTAGTAAAAATTTTGTATTTTTCTTTTATTGTCGACTTAAAATGGAAACGGTCAGATGTTTATTATTTAAGGTAGCTTATTTTTTTCATTTTTGCTTTAAAGGTTAAACTTGAGAACTCTACCTCTGAAATCGAGTTGACCTACTTTACAGAAAATGTTCAGTGGTGGATTGACCAAACTTCTATAACAACAAGTACAATTAATGGAGCGTCATATTTAACGTTTAATCTACGAATATCCAGACGTCCTGGAAATGTTCTAATCAATTACGCCTTACCGGTCCTGATATTGTGTATTTTAAGCAGTCTTTCATACATGATGCCAGCAGAATCAGGAGAACGAATTGCCTACTCGGTCGTTACCTTCTTATCTCTGGTGATTTATATTACAATGATAGCAGATAACATTCCACGTTCGTCAAGTCCAATCACGATTTTGAGTATCTATCTGACATTAATGCTGGTGATGAGCTCTCTGTCGATGGCCATGGCGACCTTGACTTTGAGAGTATATTCTCAAGAAGAGGCCACAGACATTCCACTTTGGCTGAAACATGTTACATCCTTCCTTAAATGCCAGAAGGGTAAAAATTGTTGTTCTAAAAAGAAACGAAAGAGTAAAATAGGCGACAGTTCGGACGGATGGGTAGATGATGAGTTTGATAAAGATGACGACGATGAAAGCGTGACAGAAGAATACACAGACTGGGATGAGATGCAATGGAAAGATGTAGGAGGTGTTTTAGACTGGACATTTTTCCTGCTGTTCCTGATTATGACAATTGTTGTGGCCATTTTCTTCTATTTTCCATTAGCGTTTGCAGAAACGTAAAATTTTGTTCTTTTGTATATTTAAATATTCTTTGTCAGTGATAAAGTGACGCATTTTTTAAATTTTTTTGATCTCTTGGAAAAATCGTTAGGAGTCATAAAAGTAAATAAGCGCTAATATACTCATGCAATATGTCAACCAGGCTCCTAACATTCAGATCTTTATTTGTTCCCTTTTATTGGTATTTTGCACAAATCTGACGCACTGATAGATCTGGTTTAATCTGAACTCACATGTTTTGGCATTAATATTAAAGACTTTCTTTTGATACAAACATACTCTATATCGGAATTATTCATTTGAAAGTATCGATTGCCAACAAACCTTAAAAAGTGATGTTTCTTGTTGGTCACTGGATTTTATTTTTAATAAAACGTTTAAACCTTATGCAAGTTTGTGGTTTTCAGATAACACCACCTTATTAGTCGCTAGCTTATTGATCTTTATTGTGCTCATTATTGGTCAATAGCTGGAGTCTGATGAAATGGCAATGCCTAAAACAAATTTACGTATCATTTTATGTCCATTAAATAAAATTAAGTGAATTGAATCGAAAAAAAGCAAGGAGCAAAGCAAAACTAGTAGTCGTAAACAGACAACACTATAGCCAAAAGAAAACTGTCGACAATACAACCAACAGTACAAAATAAACACTAAATAAAAAAAGGAAGTGAGCTGAGGTGCTCTAAAAGGATAAACCGTTTCTATACTAGTGGTACCCATCTTGTTGATCATGACAAATAATCTACTGATAAATCACATTTGGGAATAGTCATAAACAAGGAAAGAAAAACAGTATTCATGTTCACAGATTTTCCATAACGGTAAAAAAAGTCATGATGGTGTCAGTAAAACTTTCTAATTGATGAATTCAACTTTACTATTAAGAACCATTGGTTCAATTGCGTCCTTGTAAAATATAAGCACCAACCCTTTTGACCTGTAAATCCTGCTATTAAACATAAACTCTGGAATATCGTATTAACTAGGAGATATATACTTAGTATGTAGGTGCTGCTGGAGTGTTCGTACATAAATATGAAAAGTTCACATTTATTAAATTTAAGTCATCAACCGATCCTCACTATGAATTTCTCGGTATAAATCCGTGTATAAGACACCCCTATTCATATCTTTGGTATCCATTTTATCAAGTTCAGTGGGAATATAGAAGTTGCGATTGGCATATTCACCAGATTTTATTCAGTAAAAAGGCATCATATTTAGCAGTAATAATGTTAACGGTACCATTTTACTGCATCAGTTGTTCATTTCCATAATTAATGTCTCTTCAGAGCTGCTCGAGGTCAAAATATTTGAAAATGCAAATCATAATACAAACTTTGAAGAGCTGACAACACCGACAAATTCATAAAGTATAGTTAAACCTGGACTTTGCATGAGAAAGATATATTCCTTAGTTTAAAATTATTTCCAAAATCTCTCAACAGCAAATTTCAATCAAACAAGATTCGCATTTTCATGCCAATACCGAAGTACTGGCTACTAGACTGGTGGTGCCCTTGGTGACGAACAGTCCTCCAGCAGAGGTATCGACCAAGTTGTTGTAAAAACATTAACAGTTCCAATTTAAATCAGAGAAAGTTTGGATTTATTAAAAAAAAGTCAAAGAAATTGTATTGAGAAGAGTTTACTGAAATATCTGAATTTTATCAATTATCTAACTGTAAATTTACCAATTTGTTATTAAGAAAAACCCGTGAAACGTTGACTGGGGTATAAAAATATGGTCACCAGCTGGATTTTTCAATCCGGCAGTAAAAAAGCACGGTAAAGATGGCCTTCCATTTGTCTACGAGGGAAGCATAAATACGCAGACACGCACGGTCAGAATGGGGACGTTTACTGCATCGTGTATGAAGAGCGCCACGATCTCAGCACTTTAAAGAACCCTTGCAACACGTTCCAACACTTTGAAGGGTCCGTAATGTCCTGTTGCAAAATTAATCTTTTCAGAGGCAATCTAAATTACCAATACTTTCCTCTGGTGACCTAATTTGCAGAACCATACATTATACCATACAGAATACAGACGCGCATGGACGGATTATTAATGTGCTATCTCACAAAGAAACTGTCTAAACCAACAAGTCTTGGCTCTTACATCTAAAAGCATGCAGTAAATGCCTATTTTAAAAACTGGTTAGATCCTGACATGGATTGAACCACATATGTGTTGCCCTTGTTAGCAGATGACCAGATTACAGGTTGTTCATAAATATACACATTTAGTTTATCAAATCTGTCATAAATAGTACCATTTAAAACTCCGTGCATTTAAATGTTCTCAGGTAATTAAGAACACACCTTTCTTCATCATGACCTTAAAAGAAGATGTTATCAACTTTAAAGTCTAGTGTTTATAAAGCGATTAATTAAAGTCTTTTATTTAATTCGGGTATCTGTTCCTATTATCTTAATTAAACCTACGTACGTAAAAATATTGACATGTAAAGCATGATATTAAAACAATGATCTATAAAGTGATACTTATATATCTATAATGTAACGTAATATGTGTGAAGTTAAACCATTTGGAAAGTATTTTGAAGATGGCAAACAAGTATCTTTTGTTTTTATGTATGTTTAATACATTCATTGTGCCAATTTTATCACAGTCTTCAGACGACTTTAAGAACTTTCTTGACAGTTCTACATACACTAGTTACAACAAAAAAATATTTCCAAAAGAGCAACAAACCGAAAAATTGACGGTTTATATGAAGTTTTACCTAATAGCTCTTACCAATTTTGACGAGATAGCAGGGCAATTAGAGCTAGTTGGCTTTATAGACGTCTCTTGGACAAACGATTTGCTAACCTGGACAACAAGTACTAACCCTATGACAGAAATTTTGTTACCGCAGGATAGTTTCTGGAAACCGTCTCTAGTGTTGTCTAACTCAGTAGAATCTTTAGAAGAATTAGGACATACTAGTTATAAAATGCGGGTAAAGAGTGATGGTATACACACCTGGACAGTTGGTGTTGTGTCCAAGACAGGATGTCCTGTAGATGTATCATACTATCCATTCGACACACAGTCTTGTAAGGTGAAGTTTACGCCATGGGGATATTACGACAATCAGGTAAGGTTACCATTACATTTATCGATGAAGATGGTTTTATGTGAACAATTTCATGTTACTTGGTACCTAGTATTCTCTTTAATTATCATGTACTTTAAATCATACATATGAAAGTAGTATAAATCAAGTGAAATAATTTGAGGACAAAATACGATTCATTAATGTATTTTTAAAAGGATTGATATTAGACATATATACTATAAACTGCTCTAGTGCCATGTTACTTGCTAATTGTTCTATTCATAAGGCAATTTCCTACAAATTATGATAAAACTTTCCTCAAACACGCTCGATGCCATGTGTGACACCCTCTCATTTTCGACCAATGCTATATATTGTTTAAGTTGAGCATACATTAATTTTTGCAATTGGATGGGAAAAAATTACAGTTAATTATAAGGCTGGTAAATACATTATTTCAGGGAGGTTTAAAGTACTTCACAATTTTGTTTCGTTACTTTCTTTCCTTTTTATGGTCTCCAATTACCGAAGCATTGAACAAAACATTACAACATTATCAAAATGTCAGTTCGAATTTAACCAAATGTGTAAGCATGCACTATAACAGTTACTAGCCTATCCTTCATCAGTATATTATCCCGATAAGAGGAAATCACTTCTTAGTTTTTACAATAAATCAATATAAAAAAGCACTTCTTGCATAAGAAATAGTGAAAATGAAAATTTGTACTCTAAAGTGTTATTACCATTTACAAAACTCACCGTAATTAATAAACAATTTATTGTCATTAGTGTGTGAATTTCTATTTGCAGGTGTTTCTTGAAAATACAACAAATGTCATAGACCTGACTTACTTCCAAACAAATGTAGAATGGGACCTAACGGCTACCACTGTCGATCAGGAAACTTTTAATAGTGCAGCGTATTTAACCTACACATTAACAATGAAACGACGACCTGGTTATTTTCTAATCAATATGGTGATTCCAATCGTTATTCTTGGGCTTTTGAACGGCTTGGTATTTCTGTTACCAGCCGACTCCGGTGAAAGAGTTGGTTATGCCGTCACAGCATTCTTAACTTTTGCAGTTTTCCTCACTATGGTTTCTGAAAATTTACCACAAGCCTCCCAACCAATGTCTCTTCTTTGTTATTTCCTTACACTCATGTTGGTTATGAGCGCTTTATCAACTATTATAACAATTATGACTCTGAGAGTGTACCATCAAGACGAGTCAATAGAGATTCCAAAATGGCTGAAACATCTGACATCGTTTCTCACTTGTCGAAAATGTAAAAAATGGCGTAACGATATGGATCCTCCAGAAATAGAACCTGATCCAACAGAAGAAATTGACATAGATACACCACCTATGTACAATTATGACTATGATTTAGATGATATTCAGTGGAAGACAGTGGGAGAACTTTTGGACTGGTTTTTCTTTATTATGTTTCTCATTGGAACAATAACTGTGGCAGTCTTTTTCTTAGTTCCCTTGGCGACTGCTGCTTAATCAAATCTAAATATATACCAATCAACAATGATACGATTTGCACAATTCAAAGATTTGTCTTAAATTTCACTGTAATGGCATTATAAAATATTGTGTACATCATTATCAATTTAGAATATGTATATTTCCCATTAATACTCTTTTTCATTACGTCATCTTTCATCTGATATTTGAAAATCAATCATATGAACAAGTTTTCAATAATTGTCAAAAAATTTAGTTTCGAAGCTGTAATTAGAAAGGTATATCATGACTTACTGTTTTAATCTTGTCGTTATTCTGAACGTATCAAAACCAGCTTCCGTTTGAACATTTTATATATCGGCATGATTCTATTGTCACTGTTCAAGTACAAGATATTGATAAAATATTTCTCTGGAACATCGAATTTACTGGGAGATTTACACTCTATATATAGGCGTTATGAAATGATATATAATAATAATAAAAATGGAAACAATGGGGAAATGTCGTTTAATTATATTCAACCGTCCCTCAACATATATTTCTAGTTATATGTTTGAGCTATTCAGTGAAAGTACATACGATACGGTATATAACGGATCGCTAGCTTCGTTTCATTCATGTTAGAGACCCATGTACGACGCCTTCTTCATAAAAGAACATGTCGGCTATTTGTGGCACAATTGGTTCCCACAGGAATGCCGGCTTTCTGTTACAAGACAAGTTCCACCAAACAACATGTTGACAAAGATATGTTGTATATATTCCATTTTAATTTATTGATAACTATTTGTTAGACTGAGAGAAATTTTCCTCCTTAAAGAAAAAGTATTTAGGTTGATGATTAATTTTGTGAAACAAATCTAAACCATTTCCTTTAATCTGTCTGTAAATTTAGAAGGAACGAATGTGTAAAGGGTGTGTAATTCGTGTTATTTAAGAGAGTTTCTTTGGTGAACTATTTCTTTCAACTTATCTATAAACAAGAAGATGTGATATGAGTGCCAATGGGACAACAATCCATCCAAGTCACAATATGTAAAAAAGTAAACAATTATAGGTCAAAGTACGGCATTCAACAAGGAGCCTTGGCTCAAACCGAACAGCAAGCTATAAATCTGTTTGTTAAGAAGGAGTGAATTTTGTGTTAAGGGTGAGTTAAATTATTAAATACTATTGCATGAGGAGAAGAATTTTAATTGTATTTACTCTTATACATTTTGTATATTTCTCTAAAATCCGCATCTGATTGACACCACTCCTTTACGGTATGACATTTTACTGTAAATCTGAAGTCTGGTTTTGATTGACAATAACAAATATTTTATTGATTTGGAAAGAGTTTCAGTGAACTGTAAGAAATCTTCCTTGGATAAATATCAAAGTCTGCACTTTTTCATTTCTAAATTTTGGGAGATAACTGATAAAAATGCTTCTACGGTTTACAAATGCAATGCCGTATATAGGGCAAGGTATATTCATTTTTATGGTTTCAAATAGCAAAATATCTACCAAAGGAAAGTTTAGGGAATTTCCTATAGTTTTATTGAAACTGAACGAATCTGAACATGATCTGTTTATTCTACATATGAATGATAAGAGACTATGTTATGTGTCAGTAAGACAGAAACAAACGATATATACAGATCAGCATACGATCTTCAGCATTAAACAGGTGTCTGTTTTTACATATGTCAAGCTCTATAAATCGTACCGAGTCTAAAATTGAAAGTTGTCAAGTAATTTAACAGAGACTATCAAAGATCTGCCATTAATACCAAATTCCATAAGGATTAAACACATAAAGATATCCCGGAACTGCTTCGTTACATATGTAGCTGTGCGAGATATATTTATTTCTTTACAAAAATTCGTCTCCTTATTTATTTATTTCTTTAACTTTTTATAAAGGTTTTGCGTATGGAAAATTAATGAATACAAAAGTCCTAACGGCTTACAATTGATTGGAATGGAAACTAGTATAGAGATGTGTTCATCAAAGTACCGTTCAATAGCAAGTTTTTGACTATGTGTAATTTAATTTAATTTGATACGATGTATTGCATTTTCGTATATGTAAGAGAATGATAATCCCTTTCTTCATGAATAAGTACGAGCGTTAGCGAGTACTTATCATGAAGTAAGGGATTATCATTCTCTTACAAACTTAGAATATTGTAAAGTGCTCAAGGCTCAATTGATCTATTCAAGAATTAGTTTCATTGTCAGTGCAATGTTTATAATTGATGCATGACTTCCTTTTTCGGCATGTCATTTATGGATAAGTTTCAGTGATGTGAGGACTTTCTTATCATTTGGGAAATATTTAAAAAAAAAATGCATTATAGATATTAGGTGACACAACAGTAGAAAGAAAAGGTAGGAATTGTACGTTTCCTGATTGTGATTATGAATGTAAATCATGTAATATTTTAGTGAGGAATTATCCTTTTTCATTTACAGTTTAAATCAATTAATACATTTGAGTTACAACTAAATTTTATTTCACAGCCAATAAGATTTAGGTTATTTTTTATCTGAAAGAATTTTTTTCTTTTTTTTTTGCATTGCTTTGGTATTGTTTAATTTTATAGTAATTTGAAGTTATTAATATTTTCATAATAAAATTCACGGTACCAATTTTACTGCACCAGTAAACTTCAACTTATTTTGAGATTTTTGTTTGTTTCACAATTTAACTTTTAGTCAGTTTCAATCACTGTGTGATAAATCCTTTCAATCTGATAAATGTGCTTCGGGGCAGTTGTAACTCATTCATAGAAACTCTTTGTTTTGAACTGTAAATAGACCCAACTTATAGGATAATCCCTTACCAAGAACATGATTTACATTCATTCTTCACAATTAAGAGGCATCCAATTCTACAATTTCATTGGTCGAGAGTACTTTGCTATATTCTAATCTCAGTTATAACTGATTTTCTGCGTTTAACGGCATTGGTTAGAAGTTAATTATTTCAGTACACACATATTTTAATCTTTTGACGAGTTTTTTCAACCACTGTGTCGATGCCACTTTTGGTGGCCGTTTCGTCCTCGAGTGTATCACCAGCCCAGTAATCAGCACTTTTGTGTTGCCATGACATATCATTGATAAATTTACTGTTGAATTATTCGAAACACTAAGTTTTTCTATACCGAGTTATAGACTGCCTTAGCGTATATAGCAAAACCCGTTAGAGTTACCGGTTTTTAATGCTTTTCAACTTCATATTCGATTTGGACTTCTAACAGTTTTGATTCGAGCGCCACTGATGGGTCTTTTGTAGAGTTATTAAGCTCGACAATCGATTGTGATTAAAAACATTTTGAAATCAAGCATCTTACATAGTTCATAAATCTATATCAACTACTGAATGTTATAAGAACATGAATGGCGAATATCTACATGTTTTTCGTCATTGCTCTTCATTAAAAAATAAGAATAATAACAAGGGAGTAACAAAAAGTATAAGTCTAAGAAGGCCAGACAAAAACGATCAAAGGAAAAACCGCCATACGAAAACTAAATATTAAGCAACGCGATTACTACAAAAATCTTACATGAGCTCAGTTGCTTCGGAAAGGGACTTTAGCATTAGTCGTATTACTTAGGACTACGTTCGGTGATAAAGTCACATTATATAATAAGTCGTATTAGTGGCAACCCATGTACGACGAAAGTGAAGTAAGTTCCTACGAAAATGGAACACATTCGTGGTCATATGTGATACAGATATTCTATTACTCAAAACCAGGTCAAAACTTTCCGTAAACTCGAAGATACGTAATTGCTTTATACCATGTGTAGTGCATTTTCATTGATGCCACTGCTGGTGGCGGTTCCCCTCCCCGAGGGCATCACCGGCCCAGTAGTCATCTCTTCTGTATTGACATCAATTATCATTGATATGGTCATAATTATAAATTAACTGTTTACAAAACTTTGAATTTTTCGAAATACTTAAGATTGTCTACCCTAGGAATAGATTATCTTAGCTGTACTTGGCAAAACCTTTCGGAATTTTGGGTCCACAATGCTCTTCAACTTCTTACTTTACTTGGCTTTTTAGTTTTTTTTTATTTGAGCGTCACTGATGAGTCTTTTGTAGACTAAACGCGCGTCTGCCGTACAATAGTTTTTTTTTTATCTTGGATGATGAATATATTTCTAAATATTTTGTTGATTTGTTTAAAGGAAAATATATCTCTAGCTTAGATAAGAAAAACGCATGTGTCTTTTTGTGTAAAATACAAGTTTTTCGATTAAAATGGTTAGAATATGCTAACATGTGTATTCCGAAACAGATATTGAAAGCAAGGAAACAACTATAACCTGGTAGAAAATTCAATTATCTTCTGCTAAACAGACAACGTCTGATTTATTTTCAAAACTCCATTTAAATTTACTTTCGTTTGAATTATGTACCTGATAAAACAGAAGTTGTATGAATTCTACAATTTGAAAAAGTAGAGTTTGGTTCAGAAAAAAATCAAAAGGAGAAAAGTCCAATATTGGCTAATTTTACCGTCGGATGTACCAAACTAAATGCCTGGTATCTTTGATCAGCTTTTACAACTACTGGGTCGATGCCACTACTTGTGAACGTTTTGTAAACTATTGTATCACACTCCCAGTAGTCGATACTTCTGTACTAATATGAAATGTCATTGATACGGTCATTTACTGTAAATTTACTGTTTATAAATTTTGAATTATTCGAAACACTAAGGTTATTTTTACACCAGGCCTAAGCTGTATTTCGCACCATTTTTTGGAACTTTTGGTTTTTAATGCTCAACTTCGTATTTGATTTGGCTTTTCAACTATTTTGATTAGAGCGCCACAAATGAATCTTATGTAGATAAAAGGCGCGTCTGGCGGACAAAATTAAAAGCCTGATAATCTGCGTTTTTACATTTACAACAACTGGGTCGCTACCACTGCCGGTGGACGTTTCGTTCACAAAAGAGTTTACCAGCCTAGTAGACGTCACTTCTGTGTTGATATGAAATATCATGAATACGGTCATTTACTGTAATTTTACTTTTATAAATTTTGAATTTACACTTGGGTTTTTTTACCTCCTGGTATAGACGGCCTTAGATATGTTAAGCACCACTTTTTGTTTGAAATGCTCTTCAACTTCGTATTTGAGTTTGCTTTCCAACTATTTGAATTTGAGTGCCACTGATAAGTCTTATGTAGACGAAAAGACGGTCTGACGTACAAACCTATAAGCCTCATCTTTCATGAGTTTTTACCACCTTGCGTAATTATTAATTGTTCTTTTATACGCCCTTTTAGGAGAGGACTATCTAAGTTGTGATAACTTGTGTCTGGTCCTTTTTGCTATATGTAATAACAAATAAAATATGTTTAAATGAAATACGCCCTTTTAACACTACTATACTATTACTTGTGTAGCCAGATTATACTATGACTCAGTAACATTACTCTCATATTCTTTTTGAGCGGAGTGTGGCATTTGAAAACAACTTATT